CAGGAAGCAACCAAGCCTGCTACCTGTGGTAAAGCTACACTGATAAGCAATGGGTACACTAATTATAGTGTAAGTCTGATTTTCCCCTCTGACTAATAGTTATCAGAAGTCAAGCAACATCCGCCCTCAGAAAAAAACAAACCAAAAAAACCATTTCCTGTACAGCGAGGGCCTTGGTGTAAAATACCTGATAGAACATATTATAGTATCATATTAAAATCAAGATGTTGGAAAACTGAGATTGGGTTTGTTAATACAGTACCAGGGCTCATGACTAGCAGAAATCCAGTATTCCAATATAATAAAAGCCTTAGTCTGTCTGTCTGTCTAGCTGTAATGCTTTCTTTGCGCTCAGATTGGTTGTCTTGGCAGCCAATCAGAGTGCTCCAAGAGCGTTCCAGACAGGAAGCAGCGGCGGCATGCCGCTATGATGGTGGGGACGGAGTGGGGCGAGGCCCTGCTCCCTGGAGGTGGTGGCGGCAGCATGAGGTGCTGGCTGAGGGGGACAGGGGATGGTGGGGCAAGCTTCCCCCACCTACTCCTGAGAGGCGGTGGTGGGACAGGTTAGTGGGTGGCAGCGCTCTGTCCCCGCCTGCCCCCCGTCATTCCTGATGGGCAATTGGCTAGTTAACACATAAGGCTCATGTTCACAGAGACCTAACTTGAGTTTTCTGCACACAGCCCAAATAACTGGGCTCTGTAGTATGTTCAAATGAGACAAGAAGGGGGCTTTTCTTTAAGCTAAATAACCTCAGGGCAGCAGCAGAATTGATGATTGCAGTGATCACACAAGCTACAATGAAACGATTGGTGAATCCCCCAGGCCTAAATGTAGGACCAAATTCTCTCCCTGTACTTCAGACCATTGGAGCCTTATGGATACCTATGGCAATGTCCACACATCTGTGGATGTTTGGTTTCCCAGGGACAACTAGCGTTCGTATACCTTGTGCTGCTGCTCATTGTCCCTGGGGAATGCCTGTGCTATGCACACTCTGGTGCGCAGCAAATTACCCCCGGGTGGGGTAGGGGAGGCTGAGCCCAGCACTGAGCTGACCCCGGAAGCTTTACCTGGGGTCCTGAGAGCCTCCTGGGGCTGCAGCAGCAGCGATCCTGCTGCACAGAGCCTGGCCGGTAGCTGGAGCATGACTAGCTAGCCTGGCTCCAGTTTTAAGCAGTGCACACTGCCCCTGTGTACACTACTCGTGCTTTTTATTACATGTTTTTTTTTTACCCCTGGATATCTGGATACAGCCTATGAGTGCTCCTCTGCAGTTATGACCATCTCTTTACGCACAATACAATTTTCAATGTTGCTGCCTATAATTAGACTTCTAAATCAATATTTTGGTATCTGAATAAGTAATCTTTTTTTCCCTGGGGTGCTGAACACTCATAACTAAATGTGCAGGATGGTTCCTAGCTTTAGCTACAAAAAGTTTTGGCTAAATGTAGAAGTTACAGATGGAATTTTCATTGGCCTAATTCTGCTCCCATTAAAGTCAATCACTAAACTCTTGTAAATTTAATGAAAATAGAGTTAGGCAATGCTTGGCCCTTTTAAAATCCTAATCTTGTGCCTCCTACGTTGATTATCCAATGTCAGGGAAACAGAATCTGGCTCTTCCCACATCCATAGAGTCAGTCATCTCATCATAGAAAGTAATCAGGTTGGTCAGGCATAACTTGCCCTTGGTTGCTAATTACCTTCTTCATCTCCAAGTACTTAGAAATGAAATCCTTGAGGATCTACTCCATGATTTTTCCAGGGAATGAGCTGCGGCTGACCGGTCTGTACTTCCCTAGATCCTCCTCCTTCCCTTTCTTAAAGATGAACACAATATTTGCCAGTTATCTGGGGTCTCTTCCAATCACCACGAGTTTTCAAAGACAACGGCCAATGGCTCTGCAATCACATCGGCCAACTTTCTCAGCACCCTCAGGTGCATTGCATCCAGTCCCATGGACTTGTACACACCCAGGTTTTCTAAATAGTAGGGATATACGAAATGGACCATATTTGACTTGGATTCGGCCCAAATCCAGGACAGCAATTTGATTTATTGATTTGGATCACTGTCCCAGATTCAATTCAGCTGAATCTGAAGATTCGATGCCAAAACAGGGAATCAGAGATCCAGACATAGACACAGCTTTAAATGTTTTCTCTACATACCTCAAGGAGTAACGGGCACAAGTTGATGGAGAGGAGGTACAGATTGGACATCCGAAAAAACTACTTCACAGTTAGGGCGGCTAGGAGCTGGAACCAACTTCCAAGTGAGGTGGTGCTGGCCCCTACCCTGGGGGTCTTTAAGAAGAGGCTGGATGCCTACCTGGCTGGACTCATTTGAGTCCCGTTTTTGTTTTTAGGGTTTTTTTGTTGTTCTCCCGCTCTGGCGGGGGGTTGGGCTAGAAGATCTATTAGACCCTAAAACTATGAAACTATGAAGGTAGCAGGTGTGGCTCATGAATGCTGCGATACTGGGGTGGTTGGAGTGTCCTACAGGAGTGCGGGGAGGCCCCCTGCGTGCTCAGCAGCGAACCCGGAAGTGGACCGGAAGTACTTCCAGTCCACTTCCGGGGCCACTGGGGAGCGTGCTGGGGGGCCCCCCTGGCTCGGTGATCAGCCATAGGGGGACCCCAGGTGCCCCCCCAGACCCAGGAGGTACCAGTTGCCAAGCCAAAGGGGTGAGGAGGGCGCCCCCTAGTGCACTCCCTGGCAGACCTGGAAGTGCTTCTGGTCCACTTCTGGGTCTGCTGCCAAGTGCGCTGGGGAGCCCCTTGCAAACCTGTGGGACACTCCATGTGCCCCAGCATTGCAGCATTTATGAGCTGCCTGCTACCTTAAGGTATGTAGAAAAAACATTTAAAGCTGTGTCTATATCTGAATCACTGAAACTTTCCAAATTGCTTTGGAGGGTTCCAATTCAATTCAGAGAGATTAAAGGGTCTCCTGATTCAATTCGGATTCGAGATTCAGCCATCAAATTGGGCCAAATCTCCGCAGAATTGAATCAGGGACCGAAGCTTTGCACAGCTCCACTAAATAGTTCCTAACCTATCCTTTCACCACTGTTGGCTGCTCACCTCCTCCCTAAACTGTGCTGCTAGATGCAGTAGTCTTGGAGCTGATCTTGCCTGTGAAGACTGAGGTGAAAAAGACATTGTCATTCAGGTTTGAAAAAATATATAAATTATCTATGCTAATAAGATCTATGAAAACCATAAGTGTACTTTTATTATAGCTGCTGTTACTTAAAGAAATTTGAGAGCTTCAAGTCATTATCACTTAACATATAGGCTAAGTAGAGACAGTCAAAAAGCCCGAGGCTTAATTGATTTAGTCTTCGCAGGTTAGTCTAAGCTAACCAATAAGCAAATGAACAGACATTCATTTGATTCAGGAAATGCAGACACATGCCTGCAGTGGCTCAGGCCAGAAGCCAGGGGGTGCTAGAGCGCAGCTCTCTGGCACATAGCTAACATGGACTGTGTGTTCACTGGCTCTTCCTGCTACCCCTGATTTGCAGTCCACAGTCACAGCAGCAGGACTCTGCAAGGGTGGTCAGCTCTTCCTCTTCCTGCTTCTAGGTGCCTCTGGGTTTTGTAGTCCACAGTCACAGCCAACACTCAGCAAGCAGGACAGGGGACTTCTGTACTTGAGGGAAAGGAAGTTTAATCCCCCTCCCTGGCCCCAGACCCCAGCAGGAGTTTGCTGGGGGGGGCAGTGAGCCAGCCAGTAAGGCAGCCCTTAGTGCTCCAGCTAGGGAGAAGAGGGGTGGGGCCAGCCCTGCTCTCTGGAGCAGAAAGTCTAGCCCAGGGCTGCAGAGCATACTGGGGAACTCTGATTTAACTTGAACCAGGAAGGGGTCTGAAACAGAACTTTCATGAATCAATTTGACCCAAATCAGTTATGTCTGATACTACATTCAACCAGATTCATCTTAAAGCAGTTTCAGCCATTTTAAAACTGGTTTATGTGCACTGAACTTCTGTTCTGGTCACTTGAACCAGTTTGTGTGTAACTTCTGTCCCTAGGCCTAAGCTTAAAGTAGTTTTTAAAGGTGTGTGTTCAGTCATATGACTAAAATCCAAAGTCACATGTTCATCAGTAATAGTCTTTCACCTCAACTGTTGCTTGGAACTGTGTCCTGATGGGACATTTCACCAGTAATTTTAGGAAACGTAGCAACTCAAAAGTGTTGATATCAAAGGTCAACAACCACTAATTTGAGTCCTAATGTGCAGCTTGCTACTTTGTTTTCATGCGACTTGTGGTTTGTGTTTGTATATTGCATGAACTTACATTCTCTTATACAGTAGCCTCTGCTGTAAAGGAATATATTAAATTAAATTGGATTATTAAAATTTAGTAGGCCTTTTTATCAAAATAAAATTATAATCTATATTTGTGGTCCAAATTAGGCATATGTCACTTTTTCTTAAGAGAGAGGCACAACAGTTCTTGAATGAACTACATTAATCTAAATATTTTAATAATAATTTAATATGGATTTCAAATATAAAAAACTGATTTAATTGATCTAAAAATGATACGGTAGTATAGCACCTGCACTTTTAGACATTTGTACAATGAACAATCCCTTATCCCTAGAACATTTTGTCCTTTGAGCTACAAGGTTCTTAGACCAGCAATTCTCAACCTTTTAGGACTCAAAGCATGCCTCCTTAATTTTTGTGAATTGAATGGCTCCCAATTTCAAAGATTAATTTCTGTATTACAGTGTTTACCTCCTTACTGATCCTGGTTGTGAATCACTGTTCTAGGCATTTGCCCCCGAGTGATAATGCAATTATGATATGGTGTGATCATTTAAGTTTGCATTTTTTAAATAAAAATCAGATCTAGTGAAGGTTGTTAAACCTCTCTCATCCACAGTAGAGGTCTATCTGAAAGTGAAAATTAGTAGGTAGATAAAGAAAGCAACTGAAAGGGAAAAGAAGCATAAAAAGATAATTTGGGGTCATCTACAAGATTTGAATCAATAAAAGAAAAACACAATACTTTATTTTTTGTAGCGGTTCACATGACAAGATTCGTGAACAAGATTCATGCTTGGTCTGTGGTTTGGCTTTCATGGGATTTAAGCACATTCAGTAGAGTAGGAGTAATAAATTACCTTAGTCATCTTTTCATTACTCAGTTTTCCATGCATAGAATAGCAGTCCCTCAATAGAAGGCCTTGAAAAGGACCTTATATCATTGTCCCAGTGTATCAAGAATTTACTAATGCCACAGGGCTAACAAGAATTACAGTCTCCTTATTTTGGGGTAATTGCTTTTATCATTATCTAATGAGACATGTTTACCAAATCTGATAAGTGATTAGATATATAGTTTCTGAAATTGTGGGCGAATATGTATTTGTACAGAAACCATGTTTTAATTAAGTACTTCAGATTTCAGACAAAAAATCATAGAAAACTAAATAAATAAGTTGATGATACAAAATAAAAAGTAGTAAGTACAAATATAAAATTACCCAAAGTGTGTAAGAAACTGGCAGTTTTCAAAATAGATTAATGCAACTTCTCTTTAGAGCCTAGATCCCTGTCAGAGGTTAATGATGGTACAATTGGGATCGGAGAACTTTTATGCCACATTCCAAACATCACACCTCCTGCCATGCCGGATGTGCATCTGCTAACTGTTGGACCTGGTCCGAGCAGTCCCAAGTCCAGTTCAAGACCTTGGGCAGTTGGGGCTGGGTCTGACAATCAACTCATTGTTGTACTGGCCCCAGCAGTCCTGGGTGGATTTGAGACTGAGGTCTATCAGGGCAAGTCTGATAATCAGTTGATTGTCAGCCTGCCCAGCAACAACCTAGCTGCATGCATGGCTCTCAGAAATTCTGGCATACTGGGACCCTTGGATTGGGGGCGCATCTCCCCCAGCCCAGGATCCTTATGCTCGGTGGCATCTAAAAAGTGTGTGTTTGACCCAGCTCCCCACAACTCAGCATTTTTAAGTGCCTTGCTAGATAGGAAAGGCTGCCAGGTTCAGGGATTCCAAGTTCCTAGTGTCCAGAGTCCCATAGCATCCCCTACCAGGCAACCTTGCAACCCACTCCCTCCTGGCAGCAGTTTTTGGGCATCAGGACTAGGGCTGTCCCTATGCCAACCCCATTCCCAAGCTGATGCTTGCAATCAGCTGATTGTTAGCATCAGCCTCAGGGGTGCTACACATTCAAATTTATAGTAACATACAAACAAGCCACAAAATATGTTCCACAATATTTGATGAATAACTTTGTGGCTGGTTTGCTACTTTATGGCACCATAAGTTAGCTAAACGTGTAACACTGTTACTATTTATGGTAAAATTAACGCGTTAAATGACAAGTTAACTATAATGTGGCTTAAAATGCATGTTGTACACTGTAAAATTCCATATTTCAGATTTAATACTAAAATTTTTGTGCTAAAAGGACAAAACTAAGAAGAATGCATATTTTATTTTTAAAGATATTTACAAAAAAATATTGCACTGATCCGTTGTCAATTCTACAGCATTAACATGTTAAAGAACAACTAATCTGAATATACACTTTAAAACAGAAGTGCAAAAGCAGACTAAACAACAGAAAGAATAAAGTTTATTTAAATTGCTAAGTACAACTAGTTTCCCTGATCATAGTCCATATCCAGTATGATCTACAATACAGCATGTCCCATACACAGCTAATCTTTGAAATCTTTGTTACTTCTCTGCAGGTGTGAATCTTACTTTGCACATGAACCATTCCAAGGTTTATGTAAAATCCAAATGCTAAACCTGGCTTGGCTCAACAACTGTCTTTTTCCAGGAAACTCGGACTGCTTTAAGGAAACTGAAGAAGCTGTATAGCATAGTACTTTATATTAATTTAAATTTTTAGAAGTAATGATAAAACAGGCATGATGGTTGTTACTCCTCCTTTAGATAATGTGCAGGAAAGTTTGCTGACATTTCAGTACTGGTCACTTTAAACACACTGTCAATCCAAAATTTATACGCTATTAGCATAAAGTCTATTTCCCGCTTGGACCATCATGATGCATTTCTGGGGTGTAAGTAAGCAAAACGACCATGACCCAGAGGTGAAGCAATGCCTGGCAAAAGAAAAACAGATGTTAGTACTGTTACATAAACTGCCATCCATTATTTTCAACAGTCAGATGGAAACTAATTCTGAACCAACTTCCATGAAATGTTTGTCCTAGGCTGTCTTGCAGTTGCACGTGGGAAAACAACTACGGTTTGCACAGTGAAATGTTGCACTATTTCCAAATCAATAAAAAAAAATTACAGCAAATTACAGTTAGTGCATCCGAGCTTCCTTTTAGTAATGCTATCTTTGCTGAAAACTGGTGATCCCATTAGTCCTGGCCCAATACAGGGATCATCTGCAGTGCTGACTGAGATTCACCTCAGGGGACAGGCGTTACATTTCTAAAATCAGGAGAACGAATCACCCTCCTGGTAAAACTACAAGCATACCAGCATCCATTCTACTTCTCCTGGGGGAAGCATACTCCTTCTGGGAAAGGAACTCTTCCCCCATGAGTGAATGGTTGTACACTCTTCTCCTGGTCTAGTCCAAGACAGGAGGGGAGCAGCACCAGCTGCTCCCTGCTTCTTCCCCAAAACTGGGGATTGCCCAGTTTGGGCAACAGGTTAGGGGCTTCCCACCACTGTTTCTTCTACTGCACTCTGCTCCTGGGAACTGCAGCCATGGGCTTTGAATATGTTGCACAGGTGGAAATTCCCCCCAGCTGAAGTTCACTCCAGCATGGCGCAAAGAAAGCCTGTGCCTGCAGGCCCACCGGAAAGTGAGCAGGGGGCTTTGCCCCACTATTCCAGTTTCCTGGGATTAGGAGGAGCAGAGAAGCTGCTGCTCCCTATGCCTTCCTTGGGCTGATCCTCAGTCTGGGGAAGGCATGGAGAGCACGGGAAAAGGAGCAGCTGCAGCCTGAACGCTTGTACAGCTCCCTCTCTCAAAATAATTTTTAGTGAGGGAAATTTTGTAAATCTCCCTCCCCTGTATCCCTCCCCTTTCAAAATTAATACTTATTCAAAGCCTTAGATAATGGCTTACAAATCCACATACAGAAAATCCACAGGAACTGTTTTAATATACGAGTTCCTGTGGAAAAGAGGGGAATTAAAATGGCCCAAGTCTTCCTTCAGGTGTAAGATGGAAGAGATAGTGGTGCAAATACTTAATTTGTTTGAAAGTGTTTGTTTTGCATTTCCTAAGAGTTACCATGCATCTTAGAGATTTACTTTTCAACATGATTAGATTTCTCATGCAATGCGTTTTCAATGCATGGAAGAAATGGAGTTAATGAGACCATTGCAATCTGACACCTTTCAAGCACACTACACTGCAGCAAGGTTTTTTTTATATAACTACAAATAATATCAACTGACAGATTCCTCTGCCCTCTAGTGGAACTGCAAGGAATTCTGCCCCCCCAAGAAAAGTTAGCAATCATCATGTGGGTAGAAGTCAGGTTCACTATTTTTACAGCCATTTGACCAGGAAATCATTAAATCAATAGGGTGGAATGAAATGAAACTATAGTGTTAAACCTAAAACATCAGTTTCCCTAGTTATCTTAATGAAAATTAATCAGAGATTTGCTATATATTAACATTTATAAAAGAAACAACAAAATTAAAACCAAAATTAGTTACACAAGCATTAAAATGTTAAAAGGCATAACAAAGGGAGGATAAAACCATACATCTGTCAAGCTATGCAACTTCAAAATCCTATTTAATATACGCAGTCTTTATAGTTTACTTTAAGATATGCCAAACTGTCAAAACTAATTATACATCTCCTCTCTTTTCGATATTACTAAAAGCCTTTTCCATTACAGGTAGGTATTTTTAGTAAACTGACTAAAAAATAAATCTGGACAATGTTTTAACAACGTACTCACCATATAAATGATTACAAACACCCTTGCAATGGGATACCGTCTGAGAAATATTCCCAATCGAATGCTGTGCAAGTATAAAAAAAAAAAAAAATAGAGAAAAAAAAGATGCCTTTAAACCCCTATCCAAAGGGTGTACAGCATACAACCTGTGGTCCACAATGTTACCTGCCAGGGCAGTCTCAGTGGGGCACCGTAACTGAATTGCTTGTTCAAACAAAAAATGATTTGAAAATCAAAACAGGGAATCCTGTGTCCTTGCTGCATGATGACATTTTAATCTGTACATGCAGCTACATGTATGGTTTCCCACTAGCAAACGTGCTGAGGGCACAGTGGATCTCTAACAGTGGGCTTCCACCTTGTAAGTAACTCCCCAGTAATCTGAGCTACATACCCTTGTCCTATCCCCCAAAACTATAAACATCTACTGGCATCAGACATGTAGGCTTTCATATTTCTGCCTTTCAAATTTTACTTCATGCTCTAAGACCTGGCAGAACAAGGGAAGAACACAGTATTTATTCAGAGCACAAACCTGACACACATTTCTGATTGGAAAATAATAGTTCCCTTGTGCCATGTGCAAGACTCATTAGGCTTTGTCAAAAGGAGAGAAAGAATTTTTCACAGAATCTTAGTGGGAATTACAGTGTCCCATTCTCACCAATAGTAAGCCAGATGTGGGTGACTAGATCCTTCAGGTTCCTTTGGAAACCCAGTAAAAGATCTGTGCTATTCTTACACTAAACTGTATATGACAGACAGAACCTTCAGCATTCTACTGCTAATGCAATATGAAATATATTGTTAATTTTCATCAGGATTTTGTAATCTAGTTTTAAGAAAATATAGTAATCTGAATGTGGAAATACGAATGCAAAAATAAAATCAATATTGCCAAGGAAATCTTGGCATTTGCAATGCATATGAAATCCTTTATTAAAAGCACTCTGGAAGTATAAAGACTATTTTATCAAGAAATTCCATTTTTAAGGGCTGAAATATTTTATTTACTCACCCCTGAAATCTGACAGACTTTAGCTCTAGAGTACATAATTTTTGAATGACCAAAATAAGACAGCTCCTTGGTCAAGGGATCAAGATAAGTCTCTTTACAATACCAAAACACTGTTTTATTTTTAGGCACAGATTTTGAGGACAGTTCAAAACCTGGGTTTATTCTTTTTGATACTTAAAAACATTGGAACAGGAAACCAAGTTAAACTCTTTATGCCCTTGTTGCTGCATGACACACTTAAAATGAATTATTAATAGATGCACTTCGTTATTAGGAAGTGCTCTTGGACTAAAAGCAGCATAAGTGGTGAAACTCTGATACAAGATTTCTTTGAGGAACACTGAGGTAGAGGCAAGAAGTGGGTGGTGACAAAGATTAGTCTGTATATACAAAATGATTAGGTCTCTAAAGGTCTGATGGGTTCATAGCACAAGAACCTAAGTGTTTAAATCACGTCATAATATCTTGTGGAAACACTTTTGTTCTCTTAAATTACAATGGGAATGAAACAAAGGGAATTCATTTGGGCAATATTTAATAGGAACACACTGTACTCAATGTATTACTCTAATACAATTGAAATCAGATTATTCTAAATCAAAGGAAGATTATAAAGGGAACCCAGCAGCAAGAAAAGTACTCCTTTAGGGTTTTTGCTCTTACCTAAACTGGTCTATGCTACTGGCAGCTTTGCGAACTCTCCCATACATCCCTGCTATGTTACCATCCACGTCACTAAAAAGAACAGGAACATTCCGCATTCGAGCGCCTATTGAACAAAAATTCTAATTAACTTAAAGACACATTTCCAACAGGCTGCCTAAGTTAGGTCCACATAGATTTTATTAAACCAGATGAATTGCTGTATTTTTTAAGAGGGCCTATCTGTCCTGAGAGGGACTGATGGCTAGGATTACAACTGAACAAAAATATATCCCACAAAATTAATTTTATTCAATTTCCATCTCTATTAAATATGTATTTTAGTATTCAGCTCATATGACTGGACACAAAAACATCTGTTGGCGTCTCTATCACTTCTTTAGTGCATAGCATTGTGGACTTCGTATTGACTGTACCTTTTCATGCAAATCAACAGCTGTCATACAATAGTCAAGTTTAACAGCCTTTCCTATATAAAATTAATATTCTTCAAAGGTTTATAAATTCATAAGTAAAGGACTCAGTTTAAAGTTTACTATAGATTCTCAAAACAGAATGTGTCTGTGTGTAATTCCACAAGACTGGCTTAATTATCTGTATAAGAGCAGTAACCCACCCTCCCACAACATACAAATGCATAATTTAAAATGTTCTTGCTTGCCTGATAAAACTTTTACAAATTGCTTTTTTCATGAAGCTGAATAAAAATAAAAAAAAGTCTTAAACAGAAGCTATTAGCTGCTGAGTTATCTCTGAGACATTTGTGTAGTATTACACAGACTCCGGGGCCCTTGGGGTCCCTTCCAATGCTGTGACTGTAGAGGTGTGCTGATA